TTATTACGAAGTGAGTAAATTAAATTTCTTATTCTTCTCAAGAAGTCATGAAGCTCAAAAGCTTTTCTCTTTCATTTTCTGCCAGCTGTTGAAACACACGGTCCTCCATGGCTAATTAGGTAAAGTGCATTTCTGACTAGGGAAAAAATGCCCATTTTGTGGGAGGCCGTCTAGCTGGAGTCACAGACGGGACATGGATCGTGAGCCTCATGTCTCAGCGAGGAGATTTCGCATGGGGTCTGCTCTGTCTTTGGATTCCTGCCCGTATTGGAAATGGCGACATGTTTGTAGTTTTTCGATCGATACTACTCGTAGTGAATCTTCATTGCATTTCTTAGCAGTATCCTGTTCGTTACTGTTGAAACCCCATAGTTTTTAAGACAAAACCCTGCGAGGTATGGTTCTCGAATGTTGCTCAAACACTGCAGGGTTTCTAGAGGGAATAGGATGCATGGCACATCTCGGGAAACAAAGGACGTATAGCTCAGCTCATTTTTTCTCGTTCCCTTGCTTTAGGATATAACTTCTCTTTCAATCTCATCTTATTCACCTCACGATCACATTTTAAGCAGTCAGGGGAGAGAAAGTAAACACAAACATGGTTGTTACTGCGAATAGTGATCTGTTTTCAGTTGTAAATTGTAATCTAAGTGATTGTAATCGATTTATTTCATAGTTCTAAGTTAAACTGCTTTCAGAGATGGTATGATGAGTTTCTCTATTGGTCTCCGATGGAATACCAGAACATCACTGAACTGCGGCTACCGTATGATTCTATTTGGTTACCGGATACTACCCTTTACAATTCGTGAGTGGACTCTAGTATTGCGATTTGCATAAAAATTGAAGGGAATGAGTGCTAAGTGCATAGATTCCCGAGGGCATAAAACCGTATTTGGGTTGGCGGGCGATAAAACCCGATCCCTTCTGTTGGGCTTGAGGTTTCATGATACTGAATGAGCTTGGCCTGTGTGGTGTGGGAGTAACTGTGCCTCCCTACTACGTATGGTAAAATGTCAGCTGCTGAATGAAATCCAAGCCACTTTAATGGTAGAGACGAACGGACCGTTACTTGGCACGAAATTCGTATGAAAGGACAAAAATCATTCTCACCAGCTGTTCTTCCCAAGTTGCTGTATAGAAAAATCGTACCTTTGAGTGAAACGCGTGGCGCAATCCAAAAGAGGCTAATCAACGCTGAATGCTCTACCCTTTTCCATCATCTATTCACTACGTTTATTTTAGTTTTATGGGCTAGAGTATACTTGGGGGAGGGGGAGGCTCGTATCGCGGACTGAGGTGGGAGGGGCAGGAAGGACCTTCAGGAAGACGAAATTTGTATACACACTTGCTCCCCTAGTCTCCCATATAGCCTAGTCCTTGGAAGAGAAGGAGTGATGATTGCTGGCTGTGCTGGGCCCATCGTACAATGGTGCCCCCCCCCTCCCAGTGTTGCAGCACCATTTTGTCAATGAAGGCAGCAGATAGGTGGTGGTCTGTGGAAAATTTTTCTCCTAAAACTTTCAATGACTCGAAGTACAGCGTCTTTACGTCTCTCTTGTGCTCATAGATTTCTCAGCCTTACAGTATTCGATTCTCTTTGATGAGGGATAAATGACTAAAAAGAAAATTTCCTACTTTTACTACTCAAATCAGCTGCAGTGATAAGCCTATCAAAGTGAGTGTTAAGGTTGGTCATGAAAGACGATGACACACGACGCCTTCTAAATGCCAAGTTGACGACCGATGGTGTTCGACGAGCAGCTCTCATTGAGCTGCTCTATCCTACAATCTACAAATTCTCTTGTTTACTTGATCTACGGTTTTTCCCATTTGATGTGCAGGTCGGTTCCATATCGAGTTGGTGATCTGGAAAATCAACTGATATTTTATTGGTGTCAGGTAGTAGAAAAAATCATTCTGTTCAAAGATTTTTCGGGCAAGTCAGCAGAACTCGCTCGAACTCATAAATTTGGTTCAAATTTGGTTTAGGGAACTTACCAGCGCTGCTTTGATCTTTAGCCAAGTTTGCGCATGCGCGTATTTAAAGTCACATTCCACGATTGAAAAGATGTGGGGTACTGTGCTTTGAAGCAAAGTTGTAGCACTCAGTCAGTACTAAAAAATATGAAACAAATGCTATGAGCTTTAAAAGTAACATTATGAGCTTATCGCATAGTCGCAATTAGCACCTCGCCGTGAGGGATTCTCCCCTGAAGCGCTTCTCCTTTTAATACCAGAACATGTCCACTGTCAAGTCCCGCCACTTTCAAACAGGGTCCACTGTCACGTGACACTGTTTGAAAGTGGCGGGCTTCCTTTGAACGTTGGGTCCCGCCACTATTGAGTCGCTGGTACCTAGTTCGACTCGCTGGTACATCGTTCGACTCGCTGGCGCAAAGTTCGATTCGCTGGTGGGTAACGGATCCAGCGTCGCTACGAATGCCCTCGATTCGCAAAGCTCTCTATGCCATCGCCTTGTGGCAACGGTTGCACTGCGGTTCATGTCACTGCACTAACAGAGCTTTGGCTCGTGAACTCGTCCAGCACCCCTTCTCTTATCCGAGAGTGAATAACGGCGAATGAAGGAGTTCCTTACTCAAAGCGTCGATCAGGTTTCTCGTTGTTTTCTTTTCCTTCTCCAGATCATCCTCACTCCAGGCTTCATTAATGGCGTCGTCATTTATCGGCTAGTGGCTTGTTTTAAGGCTGTGGGCGTTGAGACCTTATTAATTGCTTCTTATTCCGTCCTAATGCTTCTTCAGCAAAGTCGACTTGCGGACCAACCCTCCCCCCCCCCGCTTGGTCCGCGTAAGAGCAGCTGTCAAGCATTCAATCAGCACTAGGCTTTGAACCCGATTGCGCGGGCACAATTGATCAATTTCTTTCTTGGATTCCAAGAAATGTCTAGTTGCTGATTCCTACTTTTCCAGAATTGCACAATGATTTTTTCGTCATGGACGTACGATCAAACTGGAATTGATTATTTCCCAGCTTCAGATGAAATCTCGATAGCTAATTATTTAGAAAATGAAGGATGGGAACTGATGTCGACCAAAGGTATTTCACTCTTTTCAATTAGGAAACTTCGAACAAGCCCAGAGAAATGACCAGTAAACCTAGAAGCGGTTAGACAAGAGTTTCTCTGGCACCTGCCATGGAAATGGCGACTGCAGCTTTCCTCTGCTGTTGGTGCACTCTATAGAGTGAGTGGAAGAGGGGAGGGTGCCGCGACTCTACTTACTGTCGGGAATGTAGAAACATAGAGGTGTGGTGGGTTCAGTGCGATCTCCCTCAGCCTTGGTGTAACAACGGCGTACAAGGACGTGGGTGCTAAGGTGGTTGGGGGGGGGGTAAGTGGGTGTGTGTGTCAACAGAATCGTCCGGATCCCCGCGCTACCGGTCGTGGCCGCGACGTCGCAAGTGCAGTGGACGAGTTTCTGTGATCGTCATCTGAACTTGAATGTTACAAGGACGCCAAGCAGGCCCGTTCCTTCAAGATCCAACTTCAATATGCTGCTTCAACCGTCAAACTCAAAAGTCCCGCGCTTCTCGAAAATTGCCGCGCAAGTGGACGCACGCGGCGGCGCGACGACCGGACGATTCTGTTGACCGTTCCTCGGGGCAAGTAGGCGTGGACCACGCGGCGGCGCGGCGTTCGTCAAACGCAATGGCACTGAGTTATGAGCCAGGAAGGAGGCTCAAATGCGCCCGTCAATCACAATAATAATATTCGCAGTTTCCCGCTTCGTCCTAGACTCAGGCTTCGTCCCATTGCGCATGAAATACGGCACCGCTGCATGGTCCCCCCTAAAGACACTTAGCACTAGGACGTGCTCTCTAGTATCAGGCTGTCAATCCAAAATTGCTGAGGGGCAGGCTTGATCGTAGCGCGGGTCTCGCGCATTAAACGGTGCAGTGCTGGTATTTTTCGAACTGCGTCAAAGTCTCCAGGCAAAACTGAATGCAAATTTAAGGAGCGTTCTTTTAATTCTTAAAGCTAACAAAAATGTAGGGCTGAATGAAAGAGCAGAACTTCAGCTGATTAAAAAATTATTTAGTGAGTCGTCATGAGGTGAAGTACAGCTGTTGTCCAAACGCCTACACGTTACTGCATTTGACGCTTTACCTGAGACGAAAGCCTTTGTTCTACTTGATTAATTTGATCATTCCCACTTCAATTATCACTCTTATCGCCATCGTTGGATTCTTCACGTGAGTTACACACACATGTTGTATTGATTACATCAGTACAAAGTTGTTTGCTTGAATACGCGTGAAAAACTCAGAGGATTTGTTGGTTTGGGTTTCGGATCCATAAGTGAATCGCAATGGTGAATATGTGTCATTTATGTGATAGCAAGCTTCCTTAATAAGCTTAGAGGCAGCGATCAGATGACTCGAGGCGCAGTCATTGGACGTCATCAAAACAGGTGGTTTTTCAAGTTTTCAATTTCGAAAAATGGCATAACCTACCAGAAAAGCGGACCAGCCATCGAGAGTGGCAAACGCTGAAGGTGTTTTGAGTTGATCTCCATCCTTCTAGCTTTCGGAAAAAGCTGCCGCAACGGTAGCCGATCAACACAATGGTCTCGTGCTGTCTCGTGGTCTCTCAGGGCTTACCAGGAAGGTCTTTCAGGGCGTGACGAGCTTTTTGAAAACGGTCTTTTGCATGATATAGGGGCAGATGCGGGGACCACAGAACCATGTTTAATTTTTCCTGAACGGCCCTCTGAATACCAGAAAAGGGGGTCCCTAGTTCGATTCCTCTTGGTGACAAATTTTTGCATTTCGAGTTGACGTTCCCAAAATTCGCGCGAGTTCTGATTGTTCTGGTTGGTTCTAACTCCATTTTGCGCGAATTTTGGCACGTCAACTCGAAATGCAAAAATTTGTTACCACGAGGAATCGAACTAGGGACCTCCTTTTCTGGTATTCAGAGGGCCGTTCAGGAAAAATTGAACATGGTTCTGTGGTTCCCGCATCTGCCCCTATATCATGCAAAAGACCGTTTTCAAAAAGCTTGTCACGCCCTGAAAGACCTTCCTGGTTAGTCTGGGGGTTTCAAATCCGCCCCTGCGACGGAGTTTTATAAAAGACAGTGGCGCGCCTCAGTAACTAACTTGCTCGGATCGCCGCACCAGACGCACGCGCCGAGTGCCGCGTGCCCCCCCCTTCCACCAGGGTGAATATCGGTCGAGGAAATCCTCGACAGGGGGGTCGTACCTGTTGGGCTGGTCCATGGGGGGTCGTACTCTTGGGGGTCAGTAACAGAAGTGGTATCATGGTGCAGATAGGTAATAGGGTATAGCGCAGCAGAAAATGAAAACATCCAAAAAAACATGATATTAAATTTTCTTTGCAGGTTCAGTCGCTCCATTCCTCCACCTTCATGAGAAGGGCGTATTTGAAGGCAGTACAAAGAATGAAAGTGCATCCCCGCAAAGAAGAGTGCCACATGTGCGCACGCGCTGCAAAGGCACCTCCTCCGCCTATCACTCGCTCCTTCTCCCTTAATACCTCGCTGAGAATGACGCTGTTGTTAGGGACCCTGTCGGAAAAACGACAACCGTGAAGAAAAAGCGCTGGGCAAATGAAGTTGTTTTTTAGGTTACAGGAATAGCACAACACACTATGTCTACTACAATACAGTTTCGTTCGAAGGTCCCCATCATATAACACCTTTCAATCGATTCTGCAACTGTGAGTGGAGGAGGGATGCATGGCTTATACCAATACCAAATCGGATGATGACGATTGCTCCTATTCTTATTGTTTGCGTTCAAAGATATTGTTCTAGACACATTCCGAGTGTTGCCAACGAGTCACACTTGCAATGGTGAATGAGGGAGCGGATTTCCAGGTGGCCGGATCCGACCTCGATAGATCCTCGACGCAATTATCTCTTCAACCAAAAAGCTGTAGAAGAAAACTAAACAGACCATCAGGAAGCGCAAACCTTCCGCTTTCCAAAACTATCTTCCCTTTTTCAGGATCTTACAATATAAGAGATATATTGCTCTTGAAGTGGCAAAAACTCGCGTGAAAATTTGGGCCTCCTCGACATTTACTCGACGAAATTTGACAGACCCTATCTTTCTGCAAGGAAGGCTTCCAGAGCAATTTCGATGCTTGTTGGAAACGCGAAATCCAGCTCTATCTAACTCTACCTCAAGCTGCTTCAAAGGTTGTGAAATGGAGGAATGCAACCTTTTCATCGAGGGTGTAGATTCGGACGTTTTTTTTTGAAATTTCGGCAAATCTGACCCAGTGACAATCGCGCCGCAGCTGCCGTTGAATCGGCCTTTGATACACTCGGCTGTTTTGATATACTCAAGCAAGAATCAAGATTGAATCGCAACCCCGTGTCTTCAGGATTTCTGTGCGTTTCTGAACGAACCTCGCCTTGAGGTCACACAAAGTTAATGCCTCTTTCCTCGAGTCGATATTTCAGTATGTACACAAAAGTATGCAGCGATGGAAGACGTGCATAGATGACAAGATGAAGCGTCCTTAGCATTATTTTGCAGAATTTTTTTTGATTTGTTTTGCAGGATTTATTTTAATTGAATTAATTTGCTCTGTTAGAGGGGGTCGTGCCAGGATCTCGATTTCGGGGGGGGGGTCGTACCTCTGCGACCACGTACTCGACACGATTTTCACCCTGCCCTCCACTGCTAGCACCGCTTGATTCAATTTGTTACTAAATCTGAGATTTGCGCATGTTTGGTCGCGGCTTCGCAGAAAACTTTCGCTTGTGAGGTCGCGGCGCGCAGCACCACTGTAGAGACTATGATGACCTCATCTGGGTGTCCCCCAAGAGGCCCGTCGCGGCGAAGGAAGAGACGCAGATGCGGCAAAGGACGAGTCGCAGCGCGTGCTGTGCGATATGAGACGTAGTATGGTACACTCTATTTAACCTGACGCCTAACCGCTACAGTATGCGCTGCGACTCGTCCTTTGCCGCGTCTGCGTCTTCCTTCGCCGCCTGGGCCTCTTGGAGACACCGGTGACACACCTCAAGGAATATGTACTGGTCCAATTTGCTGAAGAATAGATCAACAGGAGCCGATATGCTCGGTAGCTGACAGCCTTCGTTGTGCTCAATTTCATAGCGAAGATCGCGATAGTATACACATTATAAATTGTTCGTAATGTTTTCTAGGAGAATTTTTCAAGGAATTGTTTTCAGAACATCATCTGCGAGTGGAATGCGTGAAGAAAAAGTTTCACTGGGAATCACGACACTCTTGTCCATGTCAATTCTAATGTTGATGGTATCAGATCAAATGCCTACCACGTCCACTTTCATTCCGCTAATTGGTAAGAAACATCTGATACTCATTTCTTCCGGTTTTCAGATGTCTCGCACAACTCCAGGCTAATGCCATCACCTGCAGACCATTTCGCACCTTTTTTTTTTCCTAAATATACTTTTGGTTCGCGTAAAACTCAGCCGCGTCGTCGTTTGTCAGATAGATGGGTAAGTAGGGCCTAGGTCTGCTTTTTTTGACTACCGTTTTCGTTGTGCACCGCGGCGATGGTGCCAAAAAACATCACTTTCTCTTGACATGGTGAAAATTACGGTAGATTCGTAAGAAGATCAGGTCAAGGATTAAAAGACCTGTAAAGAGGCGGAGCGCAAACCCCCGCCCACCGTCAATTCGCCGAGCGCGGCATTTTCGCAGAATCTTTTGGAATCTTTTTGCTTTCTTTCGTTACTGCAGAGCTGACTACCACAACTGCTCACGTTCTCACGCAATAACCCAACACTTATTCAATTGCGGAATGTGCCTTTAAACTCGAAGTCAGGGTTTTGACTGCTTTTCTATTCAATTGTAGGTTCTTTTCTGCAAATTGCGCACTTGGAAACACGCATGTTTATGCGCCAAGATTACAGTTTTTATTGAAGCTGTGAGGAAATGCTGAACATACGGGTTAAATGGCTGGGGCCCACAATTTATGAGATGAATTCTGAGAATGAGGAGTTAATTAAATGCAGCCATTGAAAAAATTGATAGCCTCTGACAATTTTCGAATAAAGAACGCTCTCAAACCATATGAGCTTAACGAGGGTTTTAAATCATGATATTTTGCACATATTTTGAAAATATTCTGGAGTAAAAGCAGTTGTTGATTTTTTTCAGGATGGTTTATTCTTGCAATGATCATTGTTATCTCCCTGGGAACAGTGGTCTCATCAATCATAATTGCTGTACAGAAACGAGGCAGTCTTGGCGAAAGACTGTCCAAACGGACGCTAAAGTAAGTAATCATTTGGTTCTTTAAAAATATATGTTGACGTGAGACGTAAGCCCTTCCGGTCTACGCCACGCAAAATTCCACTTTCAATCGCAGAATTTCATTGGCAAATTCGTCGAGCAACACTGACTTTTGGGCAATTCCAAGGCGTGCCTTTTGAGAAAATCCCGGTTAAACATTCCCAACATTCCACAACGAATCCTCTCCTTCGTGATCCCTGTTCCTGACGCCCCATCCCCACGAAGTGTTTGTCCAGCGGAAAGGGAAGGGCAGGCGGGGGAGGGGAGGATTGTCCTGAGGGTCAGCCTTCGTTCCGCAGAGCGGTGGCAATGTGGAGTTAGGCTGGCGCTACCCTTGCACGGCGTTGAAGCCGGCCCCTCTGTTCCTGCTTGCATTCTCTCCCTTCGCCCCCACCCCCCCGCTAACGTATATGAACCCACGCAGACTCCTCTCATCTCAATCCTACTGGTCCTTCGACGCCACGAAGCCAGCAGTGGTGGTTTGCGCCTATGGCTTTTGCGACACGAGTCACCGCCCAGTCCGCAAATTTGAACGAGCAGTCGCAATTGCGATGCGATTTGCGGAGGAAGGGGGCTGCTTTCAGTTAAAAAAGATTAATCGTGGTTCGGGATAGGTGAGGTGAGAGTGGGGTCCTACTTGTTTGCAGGGCTTTTTGATGATTTTGGTAAAAACGATGCGAATGAGGTGAAAGGGCTAAATTTGAAGATTTTCCGTACCAGTAGACGTTATTCACCCTCTCCCTTCCCCCTCAACGGCCGTTCTGGAGAAAAAAGTTTGCAAAGTTAAAAAGTGGGCGAAGTTGGCTGTGTTGACTGGTATCAGGAGCAAATACTATGGAAACACTCATGATGGCAAGGATGGTGGTCGGGGAAGGGTGAAAAAGGGGCACATATAGGGAGTCTTCTAACAATAAGGCTGATGTTGGTGGTGGAGGTCGCATTGAGACCCTTGTGTGGAGGAGGGTTAAGGGAGGGGCAAATTTCGGAAGTGTGAACTCCATAGTAGGACCTACCACGACCCCATCTCTGCCCATTGATACCACCTACGGGAATTCCTACTGGATCTTTATATCGGTCGTCTTACTGTTAACCTCGCTTCAGGATCGCTAAAGATAATTGCGTATTTCACGTGTACAGCTCTACCATCTCACATTGAAAAGGAACAAATGATGGTGAGTCAGTTGGTTTCAATAGTAACGGTCATATTTTCGATTTCTCAGATGTATTTTTTGTGATTAGCCCATTCGAATGATCTTCGTTGTGATAGATAAACTGGTTTCGCAGTTACAGAGGTGGTGCCGCTAGATTTATGACTCGAGTCGAAACACACCACACGTACATTTGCTTGAGCCGGTTGTGAATGCGTTGGTGTTTGCGTCTCACTTGCCCCTATACTATTTCGCCCCACTCCATATAATTAGCACTCAGTGTTTTTCAGGGGTCTGCTCCATGGATAGTCCACACATTAAGAAATAAGACGCATTATTTTCCGTGCTTCTAACAGTTTCTTCACCCTTTCATGCTCACTGGGGGATCACATCACACCTGTGCTTCCATTTTCAAGAGCAAGAGACCCATTTAAGGGATCAAGAGTATGCGTTCAAGAGATATCGTCAAAGCGGTGCTAATTCGTTAGCAGAACGATCGTCCTCGAGCAGAACTTGAACTCACACACATGTTGGATAGTCGTCACCCTCACCCATCAAATTGAATCAGCCACTCCTGCCTTCTCACAGCTTCCAGATACAGTAGTGGTCAAAGTATTCGCCGAAAACGGTTTTCGTGCTTCTCTTTTTTTTGTTGCCAGAAAATTAATGGTGACCTCGAAAAATTTTTCTTTTGAATATCCTTATTCTTTAAGACTTGAGGATATAAAAACACTAGAAAACGTAGTATATCAATCTTTGGAGGACGTTGCTAAAGCGCAGGAAAAATAGCACCGAAAATCGTATTGGCGAACACTTTTGACTGCTACTGTATATGTGCAGTTCCCAGAAGAACTCACAAAAATACAAGTCATGAGCTGATGCTGCCAGTGAATCGTTGCACCCGAGGATTGTTTAAACATCTTCTCCATCAAACCACACTAGAACTTAAGGGCACAGAACACGTCGGATTAAAGAGATCTATCTTTTCCTTGGATGAGAGAGACATGCACAAAATTGAAGCAGATGTTCGCGAACCGCACGGAAACTCGCCGCCGCTAAGAGCAAAGAGTATTGCTCCATTCAAGAGTAAACGTTCTGGCCCTCGCTTGCGTAATAATTCAGCGTGAAAGCTGCTGGTGTCGCGTCTCGCTCGATCTCTTCGTTCTCTCGCCTCCGAGGGGCGCTCTCAGAAGTACCCTTGTCATTATCACGCTTTCAAAATACGATCCTCTCCTAATACAGATACGCAAGCACGTGGCCACGCTTTTTTCTTTTTGCTTCACTCAAGCCCTCACTTTGCGCCTCCACATTCGTTCGAAGCACATACCACACTGGGCTCGCAGAACTTAACTCTGAAAAAAAATTCTGCGTAGCAAACATTATGAAAAAAAAAAAACCAGTAGATTATTACTGCTGCTTGTTTTTCTCAAACTCATCTCAGTTGGTATCAGAAAAGAGGACGTTTTCAGGAAGCGTTCGATGCAGTTACACCTACAGTGGAAACAGCGAAGCCGTTAAAATCAGCCATGGATGCCTCCAAGAAGTGGATGAGTCTTCGACGGCCGAAGAACGGCGTCGCGGTCGTGTCCGACAAAAGTACCGACGCACTGATTCATATGTCAAACTCTGGAGGAGGTACACCTTTTTTCCTACAGTACCAGCTTCCGTCTGATTTGATCAGTACATCGTTTCAAGGAAAGCTCACTGTTCCAGCATATTCTGGGATGCTTTTGCTTGTGTAATTAGGACGTCCGTCAATACCTATCCTTTGGTGTATGTATCATAATCCTACGGTGGATCTCCCGGAGTGGCAGGTCACGAGGTACCGATTGCGGTGTCGCGTCGAAACCAGACCATCGCGATGCGGTCACACGATGGTTCATTTTGCCGCGCAACGAAGTCGCGACGCCGCAATCGAGATCTCGTGACCGTTCCGCTCCTGAAGCTTGTACAATATCCCCTATTGTGTGCATGAATGTGACCTATAATTTGCGCATGGCTTCGTTCAGAAGATGCGCCGATGGCGGGCATGACGCCGGTGGCACCACTGCCACCGCCGACCGCCACCTTGGACGATGATCTATCACTGCGCAGCGATTTCTCGGCTATACCACCATCCGGACGATTACTTAAAACGAAGTCAAGCACCAGATGTAATGTGTTCAAGGACTTGACCAGTAAGTATGAACGCTTAGCATGTCTGTTGTGTACTAACATGGAAACATCTCCCTAATTTGCCCCTCTATTTGTCAACTGCAGTACATTCTCTGCCCTTGTGTATGTATCGTGAAGTCACTGCGCGACGTCGCGCACACCTGCCGCACTATGTACGTTCAATTGTGACGCGCAAAATCAATGCGGTGGCTCTGCGTGGGATTCCATGACAATCCAGACCCGGCAGGTTAGGGTAAATTTCCATGAAACTCTGCAAAATTATGAAAATTTCACGGGGATTTCAAAATTTACGCCTTTTTCAGTCTTATACGCTCCCAGCATATGCATAGCTCGGTGGGCATTTTGCGAGTGAAGCCAGGTATAGTCTTAAAAGGGATAATTGAAAGGAGGTGTTGAAGACGGAGTGTCGGGACGTAGAACTCAAGCAGAATGAG